CTCCGTGCCAAGCACGTATGGTGCAAAGACCTAGCGACCGCCCTCGTCCACGAACCCCCCATGACCCTTGCCGATCTCCTCACCCCCACCCTCTAGATCAACCGCCTCTTCTCCCCTTACAAGGCCGCACTCGCATCGTCCCCTTCCCGCCCTCGCTTCTTCCACAACATCGCCTCCGAAGACACCACCTCCACCACTTCCTCGGTCGTGTTCACAGCCCCTCTCGTTGAGCCTGACACCATCTCCGACTCCTCGTCTCCGGTGTCCCTCAGTTCGGAGGAACTCAACACCATCCAGTTTTTGCGCATGGAACGCAAGGACCACATGGCTTGACCCTCTTCCTCCACCCCACCCCCGTCTCAAGAAACTCACAACCGAGGAACGCGCCTACCTGCAAGCCAACAATGGCTGCTTCCGTTACCGGCAGCTTGGACACCAGCAAACCAACTGCCCCAACACCGACCAGTTCACTCGCCACGTGAGCAAACCGGCGACATCCACTCCTTCGGCCGCCGCTGAATCCAGCCCCTCCTCAACATGACCTCTATACCCTTTATCTTGGCAAACACCTCCCTCCACCGGCACCATCCTCTACCCCACAGGACGATCCCCAAGCATCGCGACCCACGTCGCCTAACAAACCTCCCACAGGTACTTGTTCCTCTACCCTTCTCCCAAATCCATCCTCCGTCACTTTCTCTGACGTTGTTGAGGAACAAGCCCATCACGATCGGCTTGTCAAATTGGGCATCAACAGGGCCTCCTCAACACCATCATCTCCACCACATACTCATCCCGCTTCTACCTCAAGTTTGTCGCCGCCACCTTTGGTGCGTCTACGACCAAGTTTCGAACCCTCCTTGATATTAGAGCTACCGGTAACTTTCTCACCAACGCGTGTGTCCAAACAGCCGGCCTCACTTCTACCGGTTACGACTCCCCGATTACCATTCGTTTAGGGGACAAATACACCACCGTCGTAGTACACCGCACGGTCCCTGAGACCACCATGACTGTCGGAAGCCTCCGCAGTCACGTCTCATTCGATGTCATGCACTTGATGTGCCACATCGTCTTGGGAACACCTTGGCTGGACCGCTACATGCCATACGTGTTCCACCACAACTTCTTCCATCTCACCAGCCCCCCCGACATGTCCATCGACATCCCCTATTTCCCCCACCCTACCTCCCAAAATTCCATCACCCCTCACCAATTTCTCCACATAGCTCGTGAAAACCCCGACTCCACTTATTACTGCCTTGTCCTTGATCGCGAGCGTCCCGAGAACCTACTCCCAACGGACAAACCCGATCAAGCCGCCCCCCCACCAACCCCGCCCTCACCTCCATCCTCAACGAGTTCAAGGACGTATTCCCCAAGTCATTGCCCGCCGGACTACCCTCAGATCGTGGTGTCTCCCATACCATGGATCTGGAACCCGGCCACACTCCGTTGTGCCGTCCTCCATATCAACTCTCTATCTCGGAAGCCGAAGAAATGAAGCGGCAACTTAATGAACTCCTTGAAAAAGGATTCATTAAGCCAAGCTCCTCACCCTTCGGTACAAGTTGCCTTTTTGTCAAGAAAGGTGGAACCTCGAAATTAAGGATGTGCACAAACTACCGCGCCTTGAATCGGATCACGATCAAGAACAAGTACCCCCACCTCGGATCTCCGAGCTTCTTGATCACCTCCGTGTAGCCAAGTATTTTAACAAGATCGACCTTCGCAATGGCTTCCACCAGATCCGCATCCGCATGGAGGACAGCCACAAGACCGCATTCCGCTCTCGATTCGGGCACTATGAGTTCCTCGTGATGCCTTTCGGACTTACCAACGCCCCCGCCACATTCCAATCCACCATGAACCACATCTTCCACATCCTCCTCAAAGTTTGTGTCGTCGTATACCTTGATGACATCCTCGTTTATAGCCCCACCTTCGAGTCCCAACTTCAAAACCTTCGCCAAGTCCTCTCCATCCTCAGAGAGCAAAAATTTTACGCCAAGCTCATTAAATGCACCTTTGCTGCCTCTAGCATAGAATACCTCGGCCATATCGTCTCTGCTAAAGGAATCCCCCTCGAAGGTCACCACCCTCGTTGGGTATCCCCCACCCAAGACCCTATTGCAACTACGCTCATTCCTCGACCTTGCTAACTATTACCGCATTGTCGATGCCCTCTCCCAATGACCCGACCACAAGCCCCCTGAGAAAGTCTACGCCTCCATGACCCACATTAAGCTCCTCTCATCGCTCCATCACCGATATACACAAGGATGCCTCTCATGCCCCGACTTTTCCACCGTCTACAACATGCTTCGTGACCTCGACCCTATCCCTGACTACTCCCTCCACGACAATCTTTTCTACATCGACATCAAAGGCACTTGCCGTTTTTGCATCCCGACGCACGTGACCTCCATACCCAGCTCTTGGGCGAGGTCCACGACGCGACATCTCGGGTTCCAGAAAACTTGTGACACTATCTCCCGCTACTTCCACTCGCCTTCCCTACTCGCCGACGTTAAAGCCTACATTCACTCGTGCCCCACATGTCAAGCCGTCAATCTGTCGAACCAGGCCAAACCCAGAAAGCTATGGTTATTGCCTATTCCCACCCACCGGTGGCAGTACATCTCTATGTGTGGTCGCCCCAAAACTGACCACGACCATGACGGCATCTATGTCATTGTCTGTCTCTTGATCAAACGCGCGCACTTCATCCCTTGCACTGCTTCGCACAATGCCAAAGACGTCACCACTCTCTTCTTTGATCATGTGGCACGCCATCACAACCTCCCCGAGAATATCATCAATGACTCTGATCCACACTCTCTCACAATTTTGGAAACACCTTTTCAAAGCCTACGGAACCACGCTCAAGTATAGCACTACATTCCACCCTCAGACCGATGGACAAACCGAGAAGATGAACGACACTCTCCAACATCCTGCGGAAAGTACTGTCATCCACACCAACACGGCTGGGACCAGTTGCTCACAATCGTCGAGATCGCCTACAACAATGCCCTTTGCCCCTCCACTGGCATGCCCCTATTCTACCTTGACCTTGGCTACCATCCTCGTCCGCCCTCCGACTTTTTGCTTCCTTCGCAACTTAACCCATCCACCCCCTGCCCTTCCCTCAACGAATGGGTAGCAACAATGAACCGACTCCTACAAGAAGCCAGCCCTTGAACGAACACAAGAACAACAAGCCAACAAGACCAATAAACACAGACATGACGTAACATTCAAAGTAGGGGACAAAGTCTGGCTCTCCGCCAAACGCTTTGAACCCGAACACGGCTAGTCCAAGAAACTCACCAACAAGTGGCTCAGACCTTTCCCCATCATTGAACAAACCTCCCCCATCAATTACAAACTCCAACTTCCTCCTGACATGAGTCGTGTCTACCCTGTCTTCCATGTGGAATACCTCAAAGAATATCATGAATCACCACGCTGACCACCCATATCCTAGACCCCCACCAATCATGTTACCCACAGGCCCAGAATTCGTTGTAGAAGCCATCATAGGACGAAGAACTACTCAGGTATTTGACCACCCAGAACCAATCATAGAATACAAAGTCAAATGGACAGGATACCCTGACGAAGAATCCACATGGGAACCTCTTGCTAACCTTAACAATGCCATGGAACTTATTCGCGCCTATGATCGCGCCCATCCTATATCCTAAGATTAATAACTACCCACTATGACTAAGCCCTGCCTAAACCCTACCTTAGCCATGCCTCCCTGCTTTACACACATCCCCTGTACCCAGCAAAACCCTTGCCTCTCGACCTTCCTTTGTCTGATCCGCTTTTGCCTCCGTCTCGCCCCGTTCTCCCATCCGTCCTCTGCCACATCTCTGTCCCTCTTGTCCAAGTCCTACATATGGCCCCGGCGCGTCGTCGACGATAACGGATCTAATGGCAAGCGCATAAGGACGATGACATGCTGCAGCTCAGTACGAGGAGACAAGACAGCTGGTTGGCCACCATGTTCTTCCCTTTGGCCGACACCTTGGACTCGCAAGCTTTTGAAGCAGCACCTTCGACATCAAGATCAGCCTGCGACCTGCCATCCGGATCAGACCTCATCATCAGATCGTGTACCGCACACAACCTGCTACTGGAACAATCAAGCTCAAGCCCTCGCCGTCTACATCACAGAATTGCTGAAGATTGCTTCCTCACTGACACTTCTGCGGCACCCTCCAAGACCTTCCTCGAGATATTTTTTCGTTTTTGACACTTTGTTACAGACCTGAGATGTTGTTTACCCAGACCCCTCAGAGACCCCAGCACTTGAGCATGGAACAAACATTTTTTCTTTTTTTTTCTCGAACCTGACAACCTATAACCTTGTAGAACACCAATAGGACTGCCTGTTACTTGTAGAACCTCAATAGAATTACCCTGTTACTTTAGCATTGATTCCCTCATCCCTGTAGAACCTCAATAGGATTACCCTGTTACTTGAGCATTGATTCCCTCATCCCTGTAGAACCTCAATAGGACTACCCTGCTACTTGCATGACCAGTGATCAGCCCCGTCCCGTCCTTCACAATTGTTCATTGGGCCTTTGGCAGCCGGAACGTTGCCTTTCAGAGGGAGGGGATAGTGTTACGGACTCAGCCAAGGCTCGATCCCTGGTCCGCGCCAGGCTGCTATTTTATTTTTTTGAGTTTCTGATCTCCGGTTCCTGATTGTTGGCGCCCTCTGCAGTTGGCGCCCGTTTTCAAATTCCTCCTTTGACACTTTCGGATTTCGATACTTGGCGCCATCCGGCATTCCGGCGCCCAGACTCAGACCTTCGATTCTCAGTTCAGCCCTGAGGCAAATTGCACTTCTGCCCTCGGGACTGAACTTGAGTCCAGTACTTGAGACCAGACTCAATCCCAATACGGGCATTCAGTTTTCGGCCTCAGTGCTTGTGCTTCAGTGTGACTTGCTGCAACATCGTGTTCGGAATCCAAGACTGCGACTTTGCGTCTGCGTCCGTCGAGTCATGTCGAGTCTGCGTCGAGTTGAGTGAGTGTGTGTGTGCTCTCACTCTCCCTCTCTCTTGCAGCCTCGCTGCCTTGCCTCTGCTTCATCACACCGCCATAATTCTTGTCTTTTGTGGATATGCTGAGTGGTGGAGCTCGGCGCCGAATCTGTCAGGATCAGAACGGGACGATTCACCATTTGGCCTGGCACAGTCTGCACACCTACACAACTTCGGAAATAGGAGACCTGAGTTCAAATCGAGATGCATTCAGACAAGCAGAATAAAAAAGATCTGACTTACGCCCTTTCAGAAGAAGAAAAAAGAAAAGAAAAGAAAAGAAAAAACAACGGGCCTGCATCCAGAATTGGTCATATCCGTTGGTAAGGGCATCTTCCCTCTCGAGATGCTGACAGCATTAGGGCGCTGTGACGAAACCCAAACAGATGCATCCTCCATCACAAGACCACGACATACAACCTGACTAAGAAAAGGAAGCAACATATCTTTTTGTCCATTGAGGGCATCTGCTTTTCTTTTCTTGCTTCCTGTGTTATGGTGTGTGGCACTCGCGGGCTTTTCCACGTACACGACACACATACACACACACACACTGTTGCATACTGTAACGGTGCAGACCAGAACAAGAACCGACCTCTCAATACAAAGTACAAGATAGCGTAGCGGAAGACTTAGATACCAATGATCCGAAACAATCAATGTTGCAATGCAGCCCCGAACATACATCATCATCATCATTCCATGGTGTGAAGGGGTCTGGCGCTCACACAGGAAGACTGCGCCAGCCCCAATCATACACAAACGAAGAAGAGGGGGGTTAGACGAAGAAGAGGGGAAGATGGGATTGTCGTCAACAACAAGTCTTCGGCACAGGCCCAAATAGTCCCTCGTCAAAATGTCTGAATCCCAATGCCGAGTCTGGATCCAATGTCGTCAAGTCTCAAGTCACAACTCTCTCTCTCTCTGTCGTAGTCTGCTGATACCGAGAAGTCAGGTGGTGAGAGGGTGAAGAAGAGATGGTGGACTTAGAGGAAGAAGAAGAAGAACTCTCTCTCTCT